TTGTGAAGTAATGAAGTGCTTACTACAGGATCTGGCACTTAGCAAACACCCTCACTCGTATCACCATTATTTATAAGTACAATTAGTTCTGACTCAGGATGAATGAGTTTGGCATTCCAGCCTTAGAACTATCAGGGACCTCAGAGATGACTGAGTCCAACCTGCATTCTACCAACAGGGGAACTCAGACACAAAGGGAGGAAGGGACCTGCCCAAATTCACACAGTGAGCAGGAGAGCTGAGTATTAAAACCAGATTTGGGCTTCTAGCCCAAACCTCTTTATCACAGCACAGAGTTAGCATTCAGATCCTTCTCTGGGAGTATGTTTTTCTATAAGGAAAGGTTGGAGGTGGGGAGAAAAAGAAAGAGAGTCTCTTGCCTGGGGAAAGTGAATGGCCTGTTATAGGAAAGAGAAAAATTAGGAAAGGGGAGGCTGAGGTCATGACATGATCAGCATTGCTAACCTGAAGTTGCCTAGGCCTGAGTCTTCATTAGCCTTTTGGAGTCCCAGAGGCTTGAACCAGAGCATAAACACCCAATAGTAAACAGACTAAGCACAGACTTAGGACAACAACAATTAAGGGTTTTATAACCCATTTAAAAACAAACAGAAATGTGACATTTAAAAATCACAACTTTCTTGTATTTTCTTACATGCATTGATAAGTTTAGCACTGGTTTTCATTTTAGTTGTTTATTGAAAGAGGGATATCCTCCTCTTTTCAATGCTTATGATCCTTAAAATTTTATTCATTCCTGCTGTGGAGCTGGGGATTTGGTTTCATGTACGTGTTCCCCTTCATTTTGCTTTGTTTTTCTCTATAGTGCTTATTATCACCTGTTATATTGCTTTTTGCATAGTGCTTTTTAACGTGTTCGTTTGCTGTTGAGTTCACCTGTTCTGACTCCAGAACATAAGTTTTAAAATGACAAGGATTTTTGCTATTGTCGCCACTTTATCTCCAGTGCTTAGAAGAGTGTCTGGCACGTGGTTGGTATTCAGGAAATTTATTGAATAAGTAAATGAATGAATTCTGGCTCTCCAGAAATTTCCCTAGACAACCTATTTCTCAGGAACCTTGAGCTGCATTGAACTGGATCTAGTCCAAAAATCCCAGGATTCCAACTGAGGAAGGTGACCCATAGTTTTGGCCTTGCTACCACCAACTTGAGCAAAGACCTGAGGAGCAGACAGGTTACCCTGTACTCGCAATGGGAGGCATGAGAGCTCTTTGTTACTAGCTTTTCATCTGCCATGTTGGAGCTGTCCCATGATAAATAGGAAGGAAAACTTGTTGCTAGGGCCACAGAAATCACTCCAGTCTGAGAGCCCACCTGACTTCCCTCAGTGCCACATTTTAGGCCTCATGCTGGACCCACTCCTCTCAGCTCAATGACTCAGTACATCTCTGGATGTTTGGGAAAGAACAGCTTTTGCCCTCAAAGAGCAAAAGAAGCAGCACACTGGGCAGTACATGACGCTTCAAAAATCTGAATACAGGGGAGATTTGGACTCAGCAGCCAGTGCTTTGGCTTCCTTATTGAAACAAACTGCTTCATACTCTATGAAACATTTCACCGAGTCTGCCAGGATCAATAGACTTTGAGAGGAAAGAATCCAAGCCTATATGAAATGAGAACACAGGTTTCCAGTCACTGCAGGCAGTTTTGAAAAAGAAGGCTGTCTGGAGAAAGGTGGTATATGTTTTTAGATTCAGTGGTACACATGATTGATCTCAAGAGAGTAGGACAAGGAAGTTGCAGTGCAGAGGCCCTTCCATGAGGCAAGGAAAGCTTTTACTTGAAACCATTTACTGGGACAGTCATCCCCCCGCCCCCATCCCAACCTTGCTCCAGATAGTCATTTGAATTAACCAGACACCTTTTCTAAGATGCAAACACCAATGTGAGGATTAAAAGAGATGGCAGAGGAGGGGACGAGGGTTAGAGGCAGGTAAGAATCAATCATTCGTACCTTAGTGTGAATCTGTTCAACTCGTGACTGTCTTGACAGAGGCTTATATATTGTTTTTGGTCCATGAAGCAGCAATATTTCTGGAGGGGATAAGGAGAGATGTTGGAGAGCATAAAGGCCACAATAAAAACAGGTAGAGAACTTTAAGTTTGGGAAATCATACCAAATATAAGGTGCAGGGATTTGGGGGTAGAGAAAGAAGGCAGATAGGGATGTGAAACAAATGACCTCTGGTTGTTGAGTTTCTGAGTACCTGGACTAGAAGGTTATTAATGGCAAAGTCCCCCTAATTTTAAATGTAGCCTAGGGCTGATCATGCTGGTCATGATGTCAGAAAAGGCAGTGTCTGCTGTCATTTCATGGGGAACCAACACACAAAGAGGTGTTTGAGATGCTGACACTGCTTTCCCTGAGAGTTAGAGGCATGAGCATGATGACCAGGAATTCCCTATGTTGCCATCCTGGGACCACTACCTATGGTAGTTACTGATCTATCAGCCACCTAGCTCTACTATCACCTTATTGTTGTCAGATGGTCTGTTTGCCCCAACTTTCCCCAGGCCTCCCAGTTTTTGTCCTAGAATATTTCATCAAATCCTAGAAATCAGATTCAAAAGTCAGCTTGGCTAGAAACCCCAAATAAATCAAAGCCAAGTTGGATAAATCAGGGAAAGAGGTAGTTAATCTTTTATCTTGATCCCTGACATCATCCAGGGATTTGCCATTTGCCAAATCTCCATTCATCTTCAGACAGCCTCAAAAATAAAGTATTGTAATTCATCTGAGAGCAAATATACCCTATAACTCCTTTCTTGAAGGATGGAGAAAAGGTAAAGGAGAGATAACTTCAGTTGTCCACAAACAAAGTTGTATAAATAATTGACCAAAGTATAATCCAAATATATTTTATTACATTTAATAAGCATTTAAAGTCCAAGTTGTAATAACAGCTGTAGGTAGGATTGCTTTTGCCTTTATAAATGTAAAATAAAGTCAATTTTACATTTAGTTTTATGTTACATTTTGTTGGTTGTATTGTTCATATGACAAGCTTTTATTATTAGCAAGTTATATTAACTATGAAAATGGAAATTAAAAGGAAGTGAAATATTAAAAATTAAACAAAGCTAAACATGGAAATTACACAACAGAAAACTGACTTAATGATATATTTTATGTCAACTTGTTGAACATATCCCATTAAATGGTTTGGTGTCATAATCCTAAAATTTCACAATTGTAAGAGCCAAGGGAACAAAGAAAAGTTCACATACAGTTTATACTTACAATAAATGGAAAAGAAAGAGTACTGAAGGAAACAAAAAGATTATTCATACTTTGATTACTAATTTGATCTTACAACATAACCTAACAACTGAACTTAACCTAACTTCACCTAATTTCATCTAACCAAACCTAATGTCTATGCTTTCCATCTATAACCTTTCTTCACAAGTCAATATAATGCATGATTATTTTTAGGACTTTAGATCATGAGGAAAAAGTAAATTTTTGAGCATGTATTTTTACTGTTGTTCTGTTGTTTTAGCATTTTTTTCAATTAGTTCCTAACCTGGACACAGATTCAGCAGTTTTAAAGTAACATTATGTTCACGGATTTTCACTTAAAATCTTAGTATTTTAAAACTACATACCATCAGAAAGAAAAACAAAGTTTAATGAGTTTTAAGAATTTGCTTATTGTTTTAGAATTTTTACTTTATTGTTATTGTTTTATTGTTTTCAATTTTTTTAACCACTTCCTGGCACAAGTTCAGCAGCTTACAAGGTGCAGTTTCTAGAAGACTTACCTAAAAATTCTTAGCATTTTCAGTTGCCATATAGTCCAAATATTTTTAAAACTAATTAACACACATTTTAAGAATATTTTTGTTGTTTTTCAGGGTTTTAAAATGTATTTTTGTTGTTGTTATTGTTTTATGTATGTGTGTATGTAAGAGTTTTTATTTCCATTGCTTCTGCACTGAACACAAATTTACCATCTTTCAAGCTACATTGTGCTGAGAAATTTTATCTGCAAGTCTTAATATTCTTAAATCTACACTTCATCCACAAAATAGCAAGAGTTTTAAGGATTTTTGTTGTTTAAGAGAGTTATGAAAAATGTTTTCTCTTCTTTTATAGATTTTTAAATATTATTTTTAATTGCTTCTGAACTGGGTGCCAGATTAGCAGATTTCTAGCTGCACTTTGATCCAAAGCGTCATAAGAAAGTTATAGTATCTTGTCAGTTTTACAGATGCTCAAAAAAAATGCAACTTCTAAATTTTTATGCGCTTGTTTTGTTTGTTTTGTACAAGTTTGTTTGGTTTTTTTTGTTGTTGTTGTTCTTTTGGTTTTTTTCTTTCTAATTTGCTCCTGACCAGGACACAAATTTAGCCGATTTCTGGCTGCATTGTTCTCTAAAATTTTATACAAATGACATAGTATTTTTAAATTAACAGAGCCTGAAAAAATAAATAAAATAGTATTGCAAGTGTTAAGAATTTTTGTTTTTTGCTTTTTGTTTTTTTATAGGTTTTGTAGTTTTTTTTTTTGTTGTTGTGGTTTGTTTGGTTTATGTATACATATATTTTTCAATTTGCTCCCAACCTGAACACAAATTCAGCAGCTCTCTGGCTACACTGTGCTCCAAAATTTAATAGGAAAGAATAACTATTTTAAAGTTACAGATCTCTACACACACACACACACACACACACACACACACACACACAGAGTAAATGATTAAGCAAGTTTTAAGAATTTTTTTTGTCTCATTGTTTTATTTTTTGTTATTATTTTTTTGTTTTATTTTTTCAATTTGCTCCTGACCTGGGCACAGATACAGCCGCTTTCTGCATTGTGCTCTAAAATTTTATATGGAGAATAAATATTTTGTGGAACTCAGTCTCCCAAAAAAAAAGATAATTGAAAATTTTAAGGGAAAAAAGTTAGTGTTGCTTAGCTCTTTTTTTTTTTTTTTTTTTTTTTTATTTTTTTTTTTTTTTTGACATTTTGTTGTTTTATGTGATTTTCCATTTAACACCTGCCAGGCACACATTTAGCAGCTTTCTGGTTTTGAAGTTTCATATGAAAATCCTAATGTTACTTTTAAAAAAGAAAGTTTTTAAACTGACACTGCTGGTGATTGTAAATGTGTAAATCCTGTTAATTTTCTGTTTCTTCCCACCCATACATGCAAACACAATTTCTGCTCTGTTTTCAAAATTCACATTACAAATTTTTCCAACTCTTTTAAACTCTATACATTTCTTATTAATAATGCTAGGCTAAAATATGTTCTTGTGCTAACTTAAACTCGACAACAATTCAAAAGAGAAAAAAAAAGACTAGCATATATCAGTAGTAACACAAAAGGTGTTGGTTTTAAAAAAAAAAAAAATTCCCTGAATTTGTTCTATATTTATAGGCCCAACCCAATTACCAAATATCATTGGAATGGAAATACCTTTTCAAAAGTTTTAATTCAAGGCCATCAATTGGCCACTTATATAGTGTGATAGAGTGAAATTTCAACCCAGGAGAAGAGTTTGGCAATTCATTTTAGTTGCTGTAATTAGATTTGACCTATAATTACTGAACAAAATGGCAAATGCACAATAAACATTCAAGCAAATATATCTGACTGCATTCAGTACATTAGTTTCAAATCTTTCTTCTTATTTATAGCATAGGCAGAATCATAGGATGAAATCATATGTAGACCTAGAGACAGTTCTCGTACCTAGAAGGTGGATTCTAGCATTAATTCACCACCATTATTTGTTGTTTGATCACTAACTTCCTCTTGAATGGCTGGAAGGGAAGGCTTTGTGGTCAGTGGTATTTCAGTCTTAAACAGGGACTCCATCCTGATATGGGTATTTATGTAGAAGGACTTCTGAAAGGACTCAAGGGTGAAGTAATAGATGAAAGGGTCAAAGCAACAGTTCAGAGTTGCAAGGCACAAGGTGACTGGGTACATGATCTTTGCAAATCTTTCCAACAAGCAATTAGTAATGGCTTGGGAGCGCACCAGGGCATACAGGAAGAGAACAGAGTTGTAGGGTACAAAGCATACCACAAAGACTGCCATATGCACTGTGATCATCTTCAGCACTTTTTTCTTATTGGTCCCAATTTGAGACAGTGTAGCAGGCTTGCGGAGGGTTCTCAGCACCACTGAGGAGCAAGAGACATTCAGTATCAGAGGAATAATGAATCCAACAATTTCAATAAATATAGTAATCTTAGAAAGATAAGTCTTCCAGACACGTTTGGAGAAGCCCTCAAAGCAGGTGGTGGCTGCATTGTTGACATTAGTGGTGGAGAACAAAGAGGCTGAAATACCACCACTGAGGACTAGGATCCAGACTCCAGCACATACAATGGCAGAATTCCTCCTGGTCCTAATAGTACGGGATCGGAAGGGATAGACAATGGCTAAGAAACGATCCACACTTATACAGGTGAGGAAGAGCATGCTTCCATAGATATTGGTGAGGAATGCAGTCCCAGAAATCTTGCAGAGGGTGTCACCAAAAGGCCAGTGGCGGTTGAAGTTGTAAAATATTTTGAAAGGTAGGGTACAGACAAAGAGCAAATCAGAGAGGGCCAGATTGGTGATGAAAATAGCAGTCTCACTTCTCATTTTCATACGGAAGCAGAAGACAAACAGAGAGGCACTGTTAGTTATCAGACCCAGGATGAATACAACACTGTACACAGCACCATTCAAATTATACTTGAAGGAATCATCAACAATGCAGGTATTATTGGCAGTAGCATTGCCCAATCTGGGCCTGAGGCTTGAATTTAGATCTTGGAATTGGAAGTCAATGAATCTTCTGTCACCCATGGATTTTTTTTTCAGGAGGCCTGCTGGCTGCAGGGGTTCACCACTCTGAGACTAGGGACTGGTAGGAAATGTCTTCCTCCTACAGCAGACAAAATAGAACAAATCATCAAATATATTTTCTATTCATGATTACTGTGGAATAAAAGATATTCTGTCCACCCAAGTTGGAAGATAATATGTACATTCAATTTGGTTTGACGAGTACTTTTTGAGCACCTACCATATGTTAAAAGGTACCACAAGACTATGTTGCAAGAGTAGGAGAGATCACACTCAACACAATAAGTGCAATACTGTAGCACTGCAATGAACCTGAATAAGATGTAGGTTACCCGAGAGTCCAAGAAAAAAAAAAAAAAGAAACCTGACAGCTAAAACAATGCTAATGCTTTGGAATTTGTATGGCACTTTTCAACTTTCAAAATCCTTTCAAAAGTGTATTTTATTTGATTCCCACATGAACACCATAAGGTAAGGAAGATGGAATTATCACCATTTTAAAGAAGCAGAAACTGAGGCTTATGTAATTTAGAATTATAAAATGTCAGAATTGGAAGGCACGAATGATATAGTTAGAACCAGAATTCAGGTTTTTAAAATTTCTAACCCAAGGATTTCTAAGCTACTCTAAATTGTATGGTCTACTCTCCAATATTACTGAACCCTCTTGTTTTAGAATTCATTTCATTTCACATGACTACAGATGAAAGTGGGACCTCCAGGACATGCTCTTAAAAACATCTGACTAAACACCTGAAGTAAATTGTTCATTCACCTTTTTAAGACAAGAGCTCAGGGGGCAGGGATCTCTCAGTTAATTAGAGCTTCTGATTAAAAGCTTTTTCACTGTATCACATTGCCTTTCCAGAGACAAAATTCAAATAACAGTCTCAGCATTTCCCTCCTGCAGATCGTGGTCCTCTTTCCAAGCTTCGTTCATGCTAGATGCTATACCTAGTTTATCTGCCTTCTTCCTCTCCAACTACTCATACCATCAGATACTTTCATGCGTTCAGCTCCTAAAATGCCCATGATCAAAAAAGCCTTTTCCTGCCAAATACAAATGAGACATAAGAGGTGGATTTGTGATGAACAGCCATCACCATACCCCACTGTACACTTCTTTCAACTTTTTTTATTGATTATGCATATTCATGGGGTACAAAGCTGATCATCACTTGTGCCCAAGATGTGATGACCAGATCAATACTATCACCATGCTCATTACCACAAATTGCAATTATTCCCCATTTCCCCCACCAAATTAACCCCCAACTTCTCTCCCCCTCCTGCTCCACCTTTCCCCACATAACTCTGCAAGCCTAGATAAGCTCTCTCTCTCTTGCAAGTCCAACACACCACTGTGGTCTTTCTTTCCTTCCTTCTTTCTCTATTAGCTCTCACTTATGAGTAAGGATGTGCAATATTTTTCCCTCTGTGCCAGACTTATTTCACACAACATAATTTTCTCCAAGTTCATCCATGTTGCTGTGAATGGCAGAATTTCATTCTTTTTTATGCCTGAGTAGTATTCCATTGTGTATATATACCACATTTTCCTTATCCAGTCATCCATTTATGGACATTTAGGTTGGTTCCATATCCTGGCTATTGCAAATAGAGCTGAGATGAACATGGGAGTGCAGGTATCACTTTGACATGATGATTTCCATTCCTTTGGGTATATACCTAGATGTGGGATTGCTGGATAGTATGGCAGATCTATCTGTAGTTGTTTAAGAAATCTCCATACCATTTTGCACAGTGACTGTACTAATTCGTAGTCCTACCAACAGTGCACAAGCATTCCCTTCTCTCCACGTACTTGTCAGCATTCATTATTCTCTGTCTTTTTTTTTTTTTTTTTGTCTTTTTTCTCTGTCTTTTTGATTATAGCCAGACTACCTGGGGTGGGGTGATATCTCAATGTGGTTTTGATTTTGCATTTCCCTTATGATTAGTGATGTTCAGCATTTTTTAAGTGCCTCTTGGCCATGTGTGTGTCTTTGACAAAGGTCTATTCAGCTCCTTTGCATATTTTTAATTGAGTTATTTGGGGTTTTTTTACTGTGTAATTGCTTGAGTTCCTTGTATATTCTAGATATTAATCCTTTCTAGGATGTATAGTTTGCACATATTCCCTCCCACTCTGTAGGTTGTTGTTTCACTCTGTTGATTGTTTCCTTTGCTGTGCTGAAGCTTTTTAGTTTGATATAATCCCATTTTTTTTTCTTTTGTTGCTTGTGCTTTGGGGCTCTTATTCATAAAGTCTATGCCCAGTCCTACTTCCCGAAGTGCATTCCCTGTAATTTTTCTAAGTAGTTTTATAGATTCAAGTCTTATACTTAAGCCTTCAATCCATTTTGAGTTGATTTTGGCATATTGTGAGAGGTGCAAGTCTAGTTTCATTCTTCTGCATGTGGGTATCCAATTTTCCCACCACCATTTATTGAAGAGGCAGTCTTTTCCTAAATGTATGTTCTTGCTGCCTTTGTCAAATATCCGTTGGCTGTAAGTATGTGGATGGTATTTCTGGGCTCTCTATTCTGTTCCACTAGTGTGCGTGTCTATTTTTATGCCAGTATCATGCTGTTTTGGTTACTATAACTATGGAGTATAATTTGAAGTCAGAGAGTGTTATGCCTCCAGCTTTATTTTTTTATTTTTTTATTTTATTATTTATTATTTTTTATTTATTTATTTTTTTTTTGCTGATGATTGCTTTGGCTAATGGAGGTCTTCTATTGTTCCATATGAATGTTTGGATTGTTTATTTTCTATTTCTGTGAAGAATGTCATTGGTATTTTGATGGGGACTGCATTGAATCTGTGGATCGCTTTGGGTAGTATGGACATTTTCACAATGTTAATTCTTCTAATCTATGAGCATGGAATGTCTTCCATCTTTTTGTGTTTTCTTTAATTTCTTTCAGTAGTGGTTTGTAGTTCTCACTGTAGAGATCTTTCACCTCCTTGGTTAAATTGATTCTGATGTACTTTATTTTTTGGTGACTATTGTAAACAGGCTTACTTTCTTGATTTCTGCTTCTATTAGCTCATTATTGGAGAATATAAACACAAGATATTCTGGGGCATTGATTTTGTATCCTGCAACATTACTGAAATTATTAACCAGCTCTAAGAGTTTTTTGATAAAGTCTTTAGGTTTTTCTATATATAGGATCATGTCATCTGCAAATTGGGATAGTTTGACTTTGTCTTTTCCAATCTGGATGCCATTTATTTCTCTTGCCTGACTACTCTGGCTAGTACCTCCAGTACTATGTTAAATAGGAGTGGTGAGTGTGGGCATCCTTGTCTTCTTCCTCTTCTTAAGGGAAAAGCCTTCAGTTTTTCCCCATTCAGGATGATATTGGTGGTGGGTTTGTCTGAGATGGCTTTTATTGTGTTCAGATACTTCCCTTCTATACCTAATTTGCTGAGAGTCTTTATTATGAAGTACATTGAATTTTGTTGGAAACTTTTTCTGCATCTATTGAGATAATCATGTTTTTTGTCCTTGATTTTGTTGATGTGGTATATTACATTTATTGACTTGCCTATGTTGAATCATCCTAGCATCTCTGGAATGAATCCCACTTGATCATGGTGTATAATTTTTTTGATGTGTTGCTGTATTCTGATTGCTACTATTTTATTGAGGACTTTGTGTCTATGTTAATCACAGATATCAGTCATAATTTTCTTTTTTTGTTGTATCTTTGTCCGGTTTTGGTATAAGGTAATGCTGGCCTCATAGGATGAGTTTGGGAGAGTGGACTCTGTTTCAGTTTTTTGGAATAGTTTGAAGAGAATTGGTGTTAATTCCTCTTTAAAAGTTTGACAGAATTCAGCAGTAAAGCCATCCATCCTGGGCTTTTCTTTGTTGGGAGACTGCTGATTACTTCTTCAATCTCATTGCTTGATATTGGTCAGTTCAGGTTTTTTTTTTCTTCTGGTTCAGTCTTGGTAGTTCATATGTGTCCAGAGATTTATCCATTTACTCCAGGTTTTCAAATTTGTTGGCATATAGTTGTCGATAACAGTCTCATAATTTTCGTGCTTCTGTGGAATCTGTTATAATGTCTCCTTTTTCATTGCTCATTTTTGTTATTTGGGTCTTCTCTCTTCTTTATTTTGTTAACCTAGAAAATGGTTTCTCTAGGGCTGACCCCGTGGCGCACTCAGGAGAGTGCAGCGCTGGGAGCACAGAGGTGCTCCCGCCACAGGTTCGGATCCTATATAAGGATGGCTGGTGTGCTCACTGGCTGAGCGCAGTGCGGGCGACACCAAGCCAAGGGTTGCGATCCCCTTACCGGTCACAAAAAAGGACAAAAAACCCCCAAGAAAATGGTTTCTCTATTTTGTTTATCTTCTTTAAAAAGTAACTTCGTTTCATCGATCTTTTGTATTGTTTTTAGGGTCTCTATATCATTTAGTTCTGCTCTAATCTTAATTACTTCTTTCCATGTGCTAATTTTGAGTTTGGATTGTTCTTTTTTTTTTTTTCTAGTTCTTTTAGGTGTAGAGTTAGGGTGCTTACTTGAAATCTTTCTATTTTTTTTGATGTAAGCATCTACTGCTATGAACTCCCCTCTTAGTACTGCTTTTGCAGTATCCCACAGGCTTTGATATGATGTGTCTTTATTTTCATTGTTTTCTATATTTTTTTTTGATTTCTTGTTTAATTTCTCCTTGGATCCATAGGTCATTCGGGAGCCTGTTTTCTAGTTTCCATTAATGTGTATAGTTTGCAGAGTTTTGCTTGTTATTTGTGGTCTGAAAAGATACTTGAAATGATTTTGATTTTTAAAAAATTTGCTGAGACTTGATTTGTGGCTGTTGAGAAGAATATATATTCTGTACTTTTTGGATGAAATGTTCTGTAGATATCTCCCAGGTCCAATTGATCTAAAGTGTAGTTTAAATCTTGTGTTTCTCTGATGATTTGTTGCCTGGATGATCTATCTAATGATGAGAGAGGGATGTTCAGGTCCCCCACTAATATCATAATGGGGTCTATCTCTTTCTTTAGGTCTAATAGTGTTTGATTTATATATCGGGTACTCCAGTGTTGGG